GTCTCGGCTGCCCAAATGCAACTCCTCCAGGAAGCCCTCCTGGGCTCCCAGCCCCCAAGGCCCAAGGTGCACATGGGCTGCTCCACTCCCCGCTGCCCCAGCTGGCCTCTGACGGTCACTGCCTGCTCACACGCCCAGCCCCCACTAGACTGGGAGCCCACGGGGGCAGGGCTCGGATCTGCTGTGACCCTGGCCGTGGCCCCAGGTCTCGCACATAACAGGTGAGCGTGGAGGACCAGACACGGGGCCGGGCCAGCTCATCCCGTCACCCGCCGGCACTCCCACGCAGTCATCTGGCAAAGAGCTGACGCGGCCACTGCATCTGTCCTGGTTCCCGGGGGCCCGTGGGCTCGCAGACCGGGGCCTCTGGCTGCCCCCCAGCCCAGCCCAGTGTGGGCCCAGGGCAGAGCAGCCCCAGGGCCTGACCTGGCTCACCGTCCCTCTCGCTAAGAATGAAGGAAGCAATTAAAACGGAGCGACACAAAGCCGAGTCCACAGGAAAGCTGCTCCCCCACCCGCAGGGGAGTGGGGTGCCTGCCTCAGGGGTGCCGCCCAGCCCAGCACCTGCTCTGCTCACCTGTCTTGCTTGGTGTGGTTGACTATGGACCGGACCTTCAGTTCCCCATCGATCTTCGGTCTGCCAAATTCCTCCAGTTTCACTTGCTGGAAAGAAAGGGGAGGCTGTGAGCCCCAGTGCCAGAGCAGGACCCCCAGCCCAGCCCCTACACAGAGAGACAGGGCAAGCAGACCCACACCGGGGGCCACCTCCCGCAGAAACCGAGGGCGGGAGCTGTGCGATGAGCCCGGGGGCCTGGCTGGCACTGAGGACGAGCAGGGGCAGCAGAGGATGGGGAGGAACCGGCCCCAGAGGCTCGGCACCTGCCCCCCAGCCCCGCCGAGGACTCTCTCCGGCTCTGCGGCAACAGAGAGCGATTGATGGTGTGGGTCATGTTAAACAGGCCACTGTTGTGTGGAGCCCAGAGCGGGAACCTGGCAGGAAAAGCCAGACGCCCAACCCCGAGAAGCCAAATTAGAAAGAGAACAAACAGCGCCTATCAGATGGAGCGGGCGGGGCGTGGGGGTCCTGCCAGTGGTTCACGGCCACAAGGCAAAACCCCCTCTCCAGTTTGCAGAGACCTCATTTTCGTTTTCCGCCTGGTTTCTGTCTCCGTTTTGCTTTGATTCAGAGAGATGTCCCTGAGCACGTCCCCTGCACGGTCTATGCAGACATAACAGGGAGGGGGGACGCCCCAGGATGCTGACAGGCCGGCCCACTGGCGCTGTGATGGGTTTCTCAGCATCTTCTTTCAGAGTTTTCTGCATTTTTCAGAAGCTGCCAGAGCATGACTAGGGGCACAGCTTCAGTGTCACAGAGGAAGGGGCCAGTGCCCTGCTCAGGGACTCGACTGGGCCTCCACGTCACATCTCTAAAGTGCCGAGGAAAAGTGCCACCTCCAGCGGCTGGGACAGAGCCAGGACCGGGTTGGGGGAACGCTGCAGGGCTGGACCGGGTCGGGAGAACCCGGCGGGGCTGGGCAGGGCAGGGCACCTGGCCACAGGGCTGCGCCACACCTGCTCACCTGCTGATTTCTTTTTGTTATTTAATGAGCAAATGTTACTCATATATAAGAACTAAAAACAAAAAGGTCTTCGTGTTACAAAAGTAGTGCCTAGCATTTAGAAAACATCTGACGCCCAGTGAGAGGAGAACCCACAGCCCCAGACCCCACCAGGCAGCAGCAGCAGCAGCCCGGGGCGCAGCCATCCTCAGCCCCCTCTGCACTCTGAAAGGAAACAAGAGTGGGGTCGGGACTTCATGCCATTTGGCAACTCTTATCTTTGCTGGGGGACACGTCACAAATGTCCTGTCTGGGTGCTTCTGACCCTGGTTAGGGGGACCGGGCTAGTGGGCGGCCCAGGCATCAGGGCCCCTTCGCAGAGGCTGCTGTGCTGACTTGCCCTTGACAGGGATCTGCTTGGACCCTGTAATTTCAGGGACCAGAGAGTGAAAATGTGTGTAAACCAATGGTTCCGGTCCAGGGGTACTTCTGCACCCGGGAGACATCCGGCGATGCCTGGAGGTGTATCTGGTCATCACTTGGACCCCGAAGGGTTGGGGGTGCTACCAGCACTAGTGGGCAGAGACCCCAGGTTTTGCTCAACAGCCTACAAAGTGCAGCAGATGATCCGGCCCCAAAAGTCAACGGTGCCGAGGCGGAGAAACCCTGTTTAGATGTTCGGCAGATCCGTGAGAAGTGGGGACTGGTTGGCAGTCAGGGAAATGTCTGCCTCCTGGGATGGCCCTGTAGGACACGGTGGCTCACCCAACACCCCAAGGCTGAGCCTCTGACGGACCAGGCTGGGGACAGGGTCCCGTGAGGTGTCAGCCCTGCCTGCTGGAGCCCAAGGCGGGGGGGAGAAGCCAAGGGCAGCTCCAGGCAGGGTGACCAGACCCTCTCCGTTGTCCCTCCTGGGACAGGAGTTGTGAGTGGGCCAGGGGTCCTGGACCAGAAGGAGCCTCCCGCCTCCCCGGGAGCCACATCCTCCTCCTGGACCCAAGAAAGTCTGGTCCAGGCCAGGGAGGGAGGGCGGAGCTGCCCTTAGCCCGAGGCCACAGCTGCGCTCAGGGCGGGCGGCTGGGCGGGCTGAGGCGCACAGCCGGCGGTCCGAGGTCAGACCCAGCCCCAGAAGCTGCTCCGGGCTCTCGGAGGGCAGCGCTTGGCATGGCCCGCTTGCCTTCCCATCTGGGATGGATGGAGTGGGTGGTCACCTTCCGCTTACTCAATATTGCGAAATTTTAAAAAATACGTATATGTGGTTTTCATACAATATGATGTAAATGTGCAGTCAAATTGTAGTAATTCTACCTGATAAAACTGAAAAAGGAAGTACGTGTATACGGTCTTAACCTTCACTCTTTGGGGAGTCAGCCGCACTCACCAGGTTTTCTATAGAGCTCTGAAATTCGCTGATTTTCTTCAGGGTCTCCTTGTCCCGCTTAACTTCGTTTATGTACATCGCCAAGTCCTGGAACACAACAGGGGTGGGCCCGGGTGAGCAAGGGGTGAGCAGGTCTGTGCTGGGTGGGGCGGGAGGGGGCTCAGCCCGCAACCCCCACCACACTTGTCCAGGGGCGGGTTATTTCCAAAGCACCTTCCACCGTCCCCAGAGGTGGCTGGTCCTGGAAATGGCACAAGGGTGAGAAGCCTCACCTCACTGGACAAATGAGGCAGGAAAGGTGACACCCCAAAGCTGCGCCCCATCGGTGGGCCAAGAAACTCCGTCTCCTACAGCAGCTCTCCACCCCTTCTAGGGGGTCCCTTGCCCCTTTCTTGACAGCGCAGTAGACTTGGACCAGCCCACTTCTTAGCCCTCAGGAAGTGGGCACCCCTCCTGGAGTCTCGGCAGAACTCAGGGACCCCATCTACCCCGCCATCCACACACTGCAGCCTCCTGCTGGCCACCAGGGGGCACTGCCCGCTGCAATCCAGAGGGTTGAGTGCGCCAGGCACCCAGCGTCTGGAGTGGAGTCCCTGAACCAGGCAGAGGGTGGAGGTGACATCTGGCTCCAGCCTCCCCTCCAATGCCTCCAGGTGGTCCCTACGAGGAGCCCAGAGGCAGGGCAGAGTCCAGGATCTTGAGGTACAACATTACAAGATGGGCCTAGTGAGCTATCCAACCACCGTGGCCTTCGTGGTGGTCCAGGCCACAGGGTCCACACACGGCTGGAGTGAAGCTCTCCAGGAGCACAGGGCCACTCCAAGAAGCTCTCGACACAGACCACTGAGCAGCGTGGGGACAGAAACCAGAGAGGGGACAATCCTGGGAATGTCACTATGCAAAGACCGAGGTGGCACAGGACATAGTCAGGTGACAAGGACAGGATCGGCCTGAGCCAACACACAGGTGGGAAAGGACGGAGCACATTCAGGGGCTGAGAGCGGCCCAGCTTGCCTGGGAGGTGGGGCACTGGTGGTAAACACAGCTGCAAAGCCGGCACCAGCACCTGGGGGGGGCCTGCTTGCGGGATGAGGAGCCTGACGCAGTGGGCAATGGGGAGCCGCAGAGGAGGGACGTGAGTTAGGCTCCCCTTCCAGGGGCTGAGCTGCACAGTGAGCTTCTAGGGACAGAGGTTTGGAGGGGAGAGGCGGTGTGGCTGGGGGTGGTGGGCACTCCAGAAGCAGATGCTGCAGCCGGGGCCATGGGCAGCACCGCGCCAGGTGGCCCAGAACTGAGTCCAGCGCCCGGGCACGGGTGGCGGCCCTGGCAGACGGTCAGGAAAGCAGGAGGACGAGTGGCCCCGGGGGAGTCACTGTGGGCCAGGGGACACCAGGAAGAGACCCCTTGCGGCAGCCCCCCTCCACCCAGCCTCCGCCCTTGAGTGTGTCTCACCCACCTCCCTGCCCCTTGCTGTCCCAGGAAAATCTACGCCTACGGTCACGGGGTAACGTTGTTAGCGAGTCCAAGTGCTGCCAACGATGGCGGGCCTGGCGCCTCCCGCCCCCGGCTGGCCCGGCCCCCCGGTCCGTGTACCCGCCCACCTGCATGGCCTCCAGAGCTTCTTTGAGCTGCTGCCTCTCTGGCCGGTCGGTGGAATGGCTCAGAAGTTCCTGGAGGGGAGAGAGGGGACTCACGTGTCACCACTCGGGGGTCCTGGTCTCTGCCCGCTCCCCCACTCAGCACCGGGTGTGCACACAGAGCCGGGCCCTCGGGACGAGAGCCCGCCGCCCACCCAGGATCTGGTCCGGCTGCCCAAGTCCAGCAGGCAGCCAGCCAGCCCTAACCCAGGGGACACACCGCTGCAAGGTGACGTGTCCCCAACTCTCGTGGACAACGGAAGGGACGTTAAGACAGTGTAAAGCAGCGTGCTGAGATGGTAGGGGGCCTGCTGATTCACTGACGAGCTTCGCACGGCTCCTCGCAGAAACAACCGTCCGCCCCACAGGCCTGTCTGTCCAGAATGACTCTATTTCCACGGCCACCAGGAAGCTCGGGGACTGGGTTCAGTGATCAGCTACGGCTCGTATTCCCGGCCTGACGACACTTCTGTCTCCTTCCAGTTCTTCTGCCCTCTTACTGACTTGAATCATAACTTCCCTTGTACATTCACTACGACAGACGTTCACGAGACACCTGAGCGCTGACCCGACCCTGACACGCATTTCAGTCTTTGCGTGCCGGGCCCGGACTGTCTTCCCTGTGTGGCCCCCACAGCCCTGGAGGCTGCCGGGCCCTGACACTCTGGCCGCTCTCACCTTCAGGAGCAGGTGGTATTTGAGGACCCTCTGCATGGGCACCACCAGCAGGTCCTGCAGCTTAAACTTGCCGTCCTGGACCTTCAGCGTGCATTCCTGAGGGCCGGGGAGCAGCAAGTGAGTTCGGAGCTCCCTGCCTGGCAACGCTGGGCCACAGTACTGCCGACCCCAGCCTGGGGAGGCAGGGCCGACCCAAGCCCAGGACTTGGCCCCGGCGTCTGGGCCTTGCCCGGGCTGGCTCCCAGAGACACGCCCCCAGCCAGGTGTGTGCAGACAGGTGGATGGGGGCCGGCTGCCTCTCACGGCCTCAGGGGTTTGCAGCGGCCACGTGGGGTCTCTGGGATTCTGACTGACCCCTGGCCTGCGGTCTACCAGAGACACTCGGGAAGCCAGCTCACTGAGGTGGACTGCCCTCAGGGGCTCCCCACTGGTTGCCTGGACACAGGGGCATCAGGCGTCTCCAAGGGGGGGCGTCATGCCTAGCATTCCTGGAGCAAAGGGACGTTGCACCAGGGTTCACTCTGGAAACAGTCTGGCCAAACACCACATGGGAAGTCCAGCGTCCAGGGGCAGCCCGGCTGCCCCAGTGAGGGGCCTGGAGAGGGGCTCACGTGGGAAACTCAGCAAGGACCAGAGTCCAGCCCTGAGCCTGGGGTGAGGACACAGCAGGGGTGGGAGGCTCTGAGGCTCCCAGCAACGTCGTTACCTAGGGCCCCCTTGGTGTCAGGGGTCAGTCGCAGCCCCTCACTCAGCTGGACCTGGTCCCGGGCCCTGCCACCCCCGCACCCCGGGACTCAGGCTGGGCCCTGGTCTGGGACGGTGACCTTCCCCTGCCCACTCCCAACCCCAACAAAACAGAAAGGAAAAAATCATCTCCAAAAACATCTACACAAAAAGTCACATCACCGCCCCGTCCCTACCTTCCCACGAGACCCCCAAGAGGCCAGGGCACTGGGAAGGGCCAGGGCCAGGGCCAGGCCGGGAAGCCCCTTTACCTCGACTTTTTGTCTGAAGTCCTCCCTGCTGGCGAGGAGCTGGTTCAGCGTGTTCTGGGCGTGCTCCATGTGGCTGCAGTACTCCCCATAGATCAGGAGCCTGGACGGCAGGGGCGCACACACGGACACACACACACTCGGTGTGAGCCCGCTTTCACCGCAGGCTCTAAGCACAGCAGACGGGTCACTCCCCGTGACAGCTCCCCACGCGTTCACACGTTTGATGGTTTTGTTCTTTCCGTGTGGCTGCCTGCCTCCCTCCCTTCCCGAAATACCGCCGGCCTTGGAGGAGGGTTGTCAAATGCTGGGATGGAGGGCACCCCTGTCCTCCCCAAACCCGAAGAGGGACCCTTCTGTGGTTCTGTTTCAGGTCAGGGCCTGGTGTGGGGATGCCATCCTCAGCCCCGCATCCTGACCCTGGAAAAGGCCAAGCTGGAGAGAAGCCCCCTTTCCCAGGCGGGGGGACCTCAGCAGGCTGAAGCTCCAGCCCACACACGGGGCATGAAGGCCCGTCCTGGTGGCCCCTGAGCTGACGTCTCAAGGTGCGGGGACCCTGTGGGCCCCTCTTGCTTGCACCCGGCACTGCTGCCCTGTGCCTGGATCCTAGGCACCCGCCTCTCCGGGCAAGGTGACGTCAGCCCCAAGTGTCCCTCGGCTCCTGGGAGACGGGTACGTCGGCCTCAGGCGCCCAGAGGAGCCGTGGGGAAGCCGCCGTGGGAGCAGGCGCTCTCTGTGATCCAGCCCCGCCTCCCCCTGCAGGCCCCGCTGCGTCCACTGCATCCTGGTCTCCCACCGGCCAGCCTGGGTCTCATCTTGTGCTGCCTCTTCCTAACCCCCTCTTCTCTGACCCCAACTGGGCGTACGACCGTTCCCCAGGGCCCACAGACGGGAGCCCCCAGCCCCAGGGCCCCAGCACTCTCAGGGCCTCAGGTCCCTAGCCTGAAACTTCATCTTCGAAAACCCGGTCACCGGCTACAGAAGAGGCCCCTGCAGAAGAACCAGGCAGGGGACGCCTCCAGCGCTGGGAGCCACCCCGACCGGATGCTTCACCCACGACGTCATGACTTCACCCCACTTACAGACGTGGGATGATGAGCCCCACTCTCAGGCGAGGAAACTGAGGCCTCAGTGAACTTGCTAAGAGTCCTCAGCCAGTAAGGGGTGAAGGTCTGGCCGCCGCCGCAGCCTCGCCAGGCGGCCGGGCCAGGCACAGGAACCTGTCAGATGCCAGGTTACGCTGCGCGTCAGCACACGTCTGAGGCCGCCCCCAGCCCGGCTCTGGGAAGCTCGGGACAGTCTCTGGGAACAGGCCCGGATGGCCTCAGGGCCGTTTCTCTGTCCCCCGTGGACGCAGCTTCACCTGGGGGCACCCGGCGAGGCACGCAGGGTGGGCAGTCGGGCCTGCGCCGTCACTGGCTTCACTTTCCAGGGGGGAAGGTGCTCCAGAGCCTCCTGGTCCGTGGGAATCCCTGGGGTCTCCCCACAGGGCCCAGGGGGCCAGCAGTGACCACGGCTGGGCCAGGCATCGGGAGACCCCGGCTCTGCCAAGACCTCCCCGGGGCCTTGAGGGTTTGGGGCAGAGGGCCGGGTCCTGTGTCTGCAGCCTGGAAAGCAGTCGGCCCCAGCTGGCAGAGTGTGACGCTCCGACCAGGAGCCACAGTGCACGAGGGCCTGAGCCCTGGTTTCCACTTAAGTGACTCTGCTATTCAAGTGAGAATTTTCATTGAAAAGTTGCTTAAAATCCATCATCTCTGGAAGCAGTTGGGGCCTGGAGCCAGAGGTTTCTGTGCAAGTTGTTTGAGGTGAGCTGACGGGTGACGGCCTGGACACCCACATCAAGGAAAATCTGCGTGGGCAGCGAAAACGCTGATCGCAGCCCAGCAGACGCCTCACTTTCCAGGTCACAAAGGCCCCTGCCTCCTGCTCTCTCTCAGGGCCCCCACGCACTCCCCGTGCTCTGCAGACCTCATCCCAAATGCCCGGGGCCCCACAGCTCTGGAGCGGCCAAGCCAGCCTTTTGGGGGCCCCCTTAGCTTCCACACTCCCCAGGCTCAGCTGAGCCCGAGGTTTTGGCAGACAAGGTGTGCGGAGAGCAGATCCCAACCCTGCTTTCCCCACAGCATCAGCCTGGGCTGGCAGCCTTCTCCAGCCAGCAAACTTGTTCTCATCTGTCAAAACCCTGCCCTATCATTTCCCGCTGCATCCCTTCCACTCCCCACTCTGTCCCCTGGTTCAGTGGGGCCAGACAGAGAAGTATGGAATGGGCAGGGAGCAGCGGGGCAGAGGCCTGTCCGGGCAGGTGGCACGCGCAAAGGGGACGGGGCACCCCCACCTCCGCACCGGCTCCGAGCCCCGGGACGGGTCTCCCTTCCTCCCCGCGTCCCAGCATCCAGCCTGGAGCCCCGGCCTGCACAGGCCCTCACGCGTGCACATGCCGAGCAGCTGTGACCACAAGCCTCCTGCCGTTCTCCTCATCTGTAAGTAGGTGAGGAGGAGACCGCACCGCGGCCACGTACAGCCCAGACCCTGCGATGCAGCCACACCTCGTCCTCACCGATGCACCACTTCCAGCCTCTGAGACTCGACAGGACTCCTAGGTCACCAGTAAGGCAGTGAGCCGGCCGGGTCCCAAAGCAAACCCACGAGCCATGTGGTGCCCAAGCCCAGTCTTCCCGGCCACACGGCGAGGCTGCAGTGGTCTCTCCTGAGTCCCTTGGACAACACTCCAGGGCCGGACCCTCTTGCATCCCCGTCCAACTGCAGAGCAGACACACACCCCCCTGCTGACCTTGTGGGCAGCCTGAGATGGAGGGGTGGGACTGCACAGGGACTCAGCTGGCCAGCCAGGGATGCCCTGTACTGGGCCGAATGGGGGAGCCCAAAGCCACGTCCACCAGGAGCCTCGGGAGAGAACCATACTTGCACACAAACGAACGTATTTACAGAACAGAAACAGACTCACAGACAGAAAACAAACCTACGGTTACCAAGGGGAAGGGAGTGGGGAGGGATGAGCCGGGAGTTTGAGATTTGCAGGCACTAACCACTAGATATAAAACAGAGGAACAACGAGGTCCTCCCGTACAGCACAGGGAACTGCATTCAGTATCTTGTAATAGTCTATAAGGAAAGAATATGAAAAGGTGTACATATATATATTCACTTATAACTGTATCACTGTGCTGCACACCAGCAATTAGCACAACTCTGTAAACTGACTATACTTCAATTAAAAAAAAAGGAAAGGGAGTCTTTGCAGACGTAATTACAGTGAAGACTGAACTGAGGCCATACTGGGCTAAGGTGGGCCCTAAATCCAACGAGAGTGTCCTTGCAAGAGAGAAAAGGCGGAGGCACAGAGGAGAAGCCGTGTGAGGACGGAACAGAGGCTACAATGATACGGCCACAAGCCAAGGACGCCACGGGCCCCCCGGGGCTGGAAGAGGCAGGAAGGACCGTGGCCCAGGGACCCTGGCTTGGATGCTGGCCTCCAAAACTGAGAAAGAACGAAATTTCTGTTGTTTGACGCCGCCAACTTTGAGATCCGTGGTTACCACTGCCCCAGGACGCTCACACTGACCCCTTCACCCTCCATCCACACCGCAGCACGTCTGAGCGCTGACCAGGGCCCCCACCCGTCCTCAGCTTCGCCGTCCAGCAAAGGTATCGACAGAGTGGGAGCTACAGGCCTCTCCAGCTGAGGGTCCGGGGCAGCCCTCCAGACAGGGAGCCATGCGAACCCCGGCAGGAGCTGTGGGCGCTGAGATACGGGAGGGCTGTGTCCATGCAGGACACCCAACCTCGGGCTCTGAGATGACGGGCCCCTGAGACCCTGGACCCCAC